AAATCCTCGTCTTCCTAGTTCCTACAAAATTCCTGCAATGCTATTGGCCATGCTCATCTTTAGCTACCACCCTTAGGGCGGACTCAAGGTAGATTTAAGGGCGCTCACCACTCCAGCGATTTTGCAAGGCCTCACGGGAACAACGATTCTGAACGTATTTCTAAACCGATTGAGCTTAACGAATGTTCATATCGAAGATGAAACGTTGACCCGCGTTTATATGGGAGAGATTTTCGATAAGTGGTCATTTTCATGTAAAAAGGTGCAACGACATAATTTCAATGCCCTTTTACCTAGGAAGGAGGTGTTTGATCGAAAATCGCTCCCATATAAACACACGTCAACGTTTTATCTTTAAAACGAGCACTCGTTGAGCTCGATCGGTTGAGAAATACGCTCAAAATCGTCTCCCTGTGGAGCACCTTTTTCGGGATTTTCGGGTTTCTCGCGAGGAATTTGGGCATTCCTTGGCAACCGTTTCCGACTCTAGGCGGAGCGTCCAATTGGCGTATGCGGCGGTCGGGCGTCACACACGTTTCGGCGCCTGGTCCAGAGGCGTCTAGCCGTTGCGTGAGTCCTATACGTGCAAAATATGCACACATTTTTCGCCCGTGCTAAACACCGCCCATTGTGCGTCGCGTCTCCCTCATTCGAGCGAGAAAGTACGTTTTGGTTACCTCCCATCGAATTCGATGCTAATGCCATCTAGCGGTGGAAGTCATCGTCCCCACTTTGGTGGTGAACGCCGTTAAGACGATGCGAACGACAGGACCGGGCACTCTGACACTCTAACACTCTCTCTCTTGACACTCTTGCTCTTGCGAAAATCTCGTCGTCTCTCTGACGATCGGAACATAGATCTGTAATTTCGGAAAAATAAAAGTATTGATACCCGGAATTGAACACAGATATTCAACAGAATAGAAAAATCATCACTTTTACATTGAAATCGTGAGACATTGAATCCTATTCTATTCAAGCCTTTTTACCGGGCAGACTTTTAACTATTTACGGTTTGAATATTCAAGTCAACATTTTATCATTACAATATAATTAACCGTAAATAACATTTTCAAATAGTTGAACAGGATTCTTAATTTTCTCTGTCGTGAAATCTTTTGCCTGAAAAGTGACAGCTTAGATCTTAAACTGTATTTCATTAGATCATTACAATATCACGATATCGTTATAACATTAATTTAATTAATACAATTGTCATTCCTACCCTATTTTCACAACACAACTGTTTGTAAAAATATTTATTTCTGGCCGCAACGCGCCAGAAACAATCTTCAATTCACCAATCGGTCAATCCGGACGTCTCACCCTATTATTTGCATATGACTCATATGACGACGACACAGCTTTATCAGCTGATGAAATAAACTGTTTAAAATGAGGAGGTGCCGCCATCCGCCGTGAAAGAAGTGAATAAGAAAATCATACTGGTGCCACTACTGGCGCCATCTGGCAGGAAACATTCACGAAGGTGGTGCGAAGATGACGACAGAACTGAAAGACGTCTCTCCTATGTTTAGTCCTTGTTAATATTAGCTAATAACTTTCCGATAATTGACTTAAAACGTTTAAAATTGATTTGAATGCAATCGTTATCATTTTTTAATTCATAATCTCCCGTTGACTCTTTGTATTATAAAATAATATGAAATGATATTGATAGTACAATAGTCGCGGTCGTTGAGCCACTGTATTCGACCGGCCATTGCATGCCTATAGTCGGCCAGTGTATAGTGACTACGGTCGGCTGCGCGCCTTTACCGTCGTATGTACATGGTCTCACCTGGTGGTGTACCTGGTACTTGGCGCGAGACTCGACCGAGTCTCTTGATCCGTATTCTCTACTGTACGAGTTTACGGTTTCCGTTAGGTTATAAACACTTTTTAGCACATATGTAAACACGTAAATAAATATTTTTAAGCAATACTAAATTAATTTGGCGTTTGTGTTCAAAATTCTTTCGTCTTCACCCTGTTTAACATCAAATTTCTAATAAGATTTAATATTTTTTATTTAGAATGAGAAGGACGTGATATACTTCGCGCTCGCATACAAAACTGGGGACGTATTATACGTTGTAATATACACATAGAAAATCACGTATATAACGTGACGTTTTATACCTATCCAGCCCTGCTTACGATGTACTTGGCAACAAACTCTGCCGAGTCTCTTGGTACTAGTTCGTCGCATCGCTGAATTTGTTCGAATTGACATGCCACGAATTGCGAATCACTAACCATATGCACACTGTTAAAAATATTCACATGATCCATACAGTTTTGATACATAAGATATACAGGGTATCCCATAATAGATAATTAATCTTCCAAAGGGCGAAAGAGGGTGGAATTTTGAACTAGAAGTTCCTTTTCCACTTTTAGCTCAGCACATTTTTCATCGGGTTATTAGCAATTAAAATTGACGAAAAAGACGGAGCGCCGTGGAGCTCCTCGCTCATGCCTTACGTTCCTCTAAAAAACATTTAATTTTAATATGTCAGACTATTTAATAAATAAATGAATAAATAAGTAAATAAGATTAAAAAAGTTATAAATTGATTTAAAAGATTAATGTGAAAATCATTATTCAACTACATAATAAATCAAAAAATTACTGACTGATCGAATAATTGTTTATAAATTAATGATTTGATTAATTTATAACTGTTTTTATTCTTATTTATTTATTTATTAAATAGTCTTACATATTAAAATAAAATGTTTTCTGAAGGAACGTAAGGCATGAGCGAGGAGCCCCCTAGCGTGTTACAATTCTGCGTACTCTGATGGCACCGTCTCGTTGGTCAACTTTAAGGTGAAGTGAAACACGTTGAGGAAATTGATCGACGTCGGTAGAAAAGATTTTCCTAAATACCTACGTTGCCGACATTCGTTTTTATATTGACAGCTGTGTCGAATTATATTGGGTATTGTACTAAATGGCATACTCCACCTGTCATTTTTGTACAATAATTATAAAGAAATAGGATTAAAACTCCAGAAATCCCTTAGATTCATGGCTGCTGAGGCCCCAATTGACTGCAGAGTGACATCTTGCGCCATCTTTGTGATTTCCGTGGCAACTCAATTTTCACTCCGAGATCGAGACCGTATTACCATCGTTTTAGAATAGACGCGCACCAGATACTTTTTTTGCCTTTACCCCGTTCAAATGCGAGTTTCTCGAATACCAAGAGTGTTCTAAATTGTCGTACATTTGTCCTGACCCTTTTGTTTCTTATATTAGAACCTTCAATAACTGTTCATCGATCGAAGTATGAGTGCTCGACGCCGTTTTGGTTTTGGTCTGGGGTAAGTTAAAAAAATTGTTTTAAAAATTTCGAAAGTGTCAGGATAATTCCTAGGTGCTCATGAGTCATGTGTCAAAGTTTCAGACGGGTCGATCCAATACCCTAAAAAAAAAGTGTTGTATTCGAATCGTTTGATTTGAGGGTGATTTCACTTCACCTTAAGGTGAAGTGAAACACGTCGAGGAACTTGATCAACGTCGATAAAAAAAGATTTTTCTAAATGCCTACGTTGGCGACGTTCGTTTTTATATTGACAGCTGGGTCGAATTATATTGGGTATTGTACCAAATGGCATACTCCACCTGTCGTTTTCGTACAATAATTATAAAGAAATTGAATATAACTCCAGAAATCCTCTGGATTCATGCTTTCTGGGGCCCAAATTGACTGCAAAGGGATACCCTGCGCCATCTGTGATTTCCAGGTCAATTAAATTTGCACTCCGAGACCTCGTATTACCGTCGTTTTGGCATAGAAGCGCATACAACACTTTTTTTGCCTTCATCCCGTTCAAATGCGAGTTTATCGATTACCAGAGTGTTCTAAATTGTCTTAAAATTGTCCTGACCCTTTCGTTTCTCATATCAGAGCCGTCGATAATTGTATATTGATCGAAATATGAGGGCTCGACGCCATTTTGGTTCTGGTCTGGACTGAGTTAAACAATTTTTTTGAAAAATCCAAATATTCAATGTGTCAGGACAAGTCTTAGATGATCAGGAGTGATGTGTCAAAGTTTCGGACAGTTTGGTCTAATACCCTTAAAAAAAAGTGTTGTATTCGTATCGACTGATTTGAAGGGTGTTTCACTTCACCTTAATTGCTAATAACGCGATAAAAGATGTTCTGAGCTGGAAATGGAACAAGAATTTTTAGTCCAAAATTCCATCCTCTTTCCCCCTTTGAAAGATTAATTATCTATTATGGGACACCCTGTATATTACAGTAAAATTATGGACAAGGATTTCTTAAATGTAAATTAGTATTCATCTATACATTCATAATACGTTTATCAAACTTTTCCAAATTAATTTATACCTTTATAACATGATATTATGATTCCGTGAAATTGTGTAAGAAAATTAATACACTTATGTAGATAATTAGCGTTAACAAGTGCTGACGATATAATACTAAATCTGTTCTTACCATACAGAAATGAGCCACTGTTGTTTAGTTGTATTATTTTAACGTCTTTTCCGTCAAAAGTTCCTACACCGTTAAAATATGTTGTAACTTTATACAATTGTTTGGATGTTTTAGTACGATATGGTATACTAATTTTATGACGTTTTATTTACATACTTAATAAACCTACGTTATAAATTACTAATACATATGTTATAAATTTATGGTAGAAGTGCATTGATTTTCCTACCCAATTTGACCCAACTATAACATGATATAAAATTTGAAATTTATAATAAATATACACTAATTCACTTTTAAAACATCAAATTTATAATTTAACTACAATTTTATGTACTAAAAGTGTACGAATGTATTTTTCTTACTGTAGACTATTTTTAATGGTATAGATTATTGTTTACAATGTAGACAGTGCGGAAAGTTCTGCAAAGTTAAAATTCGCTTGCGATTTTCTTCCAGTCATTTTCTTGTTTTAGTTACTGAAATAAGAAGGTATACATTATTATTTTGTTATTACAGATACCACTGATCGAATCACCGGAATCACAGGACTCATTCATCCCTGTGACGCCTATTATTAGTTCAGTCTCCTCACATGCTGGAAGTTCGGAACGACAACACACATCCACGCCAGTCTTGCGTTCCAGGCCTGGAAAAAGATTGAACTCGGAGTTAACGGACGAATCATTCAGAACTGTTACCGACAATTTAAAACGTCCCGACGTCGAAGATCGTTTCGATATTTATGGTAAATATGTAGGAATGAAACTGCGTGATCTTCCCAAACAACAAAGAATACTTGCTGAAAGAATTATCAATGAAACATTATTTTTGGCTGATTTAGGTAGTTTAACATTGTCGCACTCTGTGCTGTCTTCGAACTTTGTCAATACCGCTGTCTCCTCGAAACCATAATTAATTATTGATTTCATCGATTATTATCTACATTTATTACCGAATTAAACTTGTCTGTTTTATGGATTAATAATAAAGTTAATTAGAATTAAAGGTGTATTTTATATCGCGCATGCTTGTAAATGTATTTGGCGCGAAACTCTACCGAGTTTCTTGATTTACCCTTAAATGCGTTGTTGGCAATGATTGGTAGGGTTAAGTATGTTTATTAAAATTTATACACTTTTAATACATAAGATTGTAGATTCGCCTCCTACAGTTAATGTCTGAAAAAGTGAACTACTCCCTATTTGTTATACACTTCTAAATGAATTTATAATTTTGTAACATGTTATAACGTTGTAATATTATACAGGAAAATTAATACACTTATGTACGAAGTTTATAAAATATATAGAAACAAAATGTTATAAAATTAGTATGCTATATCTGAATAGACTTTAAAAAAATGTTACATATTACGATAGTTTTTTTTTTAACATTATACTACTAATATGTAATTTTCTGTTTGTTCGCATCTGTTCGCTTCGTAAGTTGAGATCGAATATTTTTTTCGGAGATTTGGTGGTTTTTGTTAAAGGTGACCATGACGATATGTAGTAGTGATGAATCCGCGCAAACCGATCTGCGCAGATTTAACTGATATGTAGATAACAGATCTTTGGTGATATTTTGACTTGCACAATTCGTCGGAATAGGTTAATTTTACTAATCGAGTTATCTGCACCAACTGCGTTTGCAGTTTTATCAAAATGCGTGGATGGTGACATTGCAAGTGCTCGATTCACTTTTAACATTGGTCATAGATGATCGTTGTAGAAATGAAATTTTGTGAATTTCTCTCACATTACTTTTAATACATCGAGTTTATATAATTTTACTGCAACCTTATGTACTAAAAGTGTACGCATTTTATGAATATTTTTAACAGTACACTTATAACCATATTAAAAATTGAACAGCTTTTAAGCACAAAAAGATGGAGAACATTTTCTTTTAATCATATTTATTTAAACTCTTACAAATTTGAACTAATTGTGGAATGTAATACTCTTTATCCGTGCATTTTCAACTTCACGGAGTCAAACCTTCCTAGAATGTTTTATTACCAGTTCGCAAAATTTCATGTCAAATATTATCCTTTAATTCCTGGGCTGTTTTAGATTAATGAATGAATAATGTGAATTCTTTCCTTCAGATAACTTTAAAGAAAAAACTCGGGGGCTGATATTTTTTCTGATGTTACAATTTTGAGTAACTAAAGTAGTGACTATATGCTCTTTGGAGAAGAAAATTGGAATGGTTGTTTCAAAATAAAATTGCACAATTTTTATTCTTTACTAGATCGTGTATTTCTTCATGGCCAATCTCCCACATATTTATAAAACATCTCCGAAAGAAAGAAATAAGATTGACTACACGTAAAAAAGTTATATAATTTCTAAAATGGTAAGTGACTTTTGCGTCATGTTTAGTGTAAAAAATTTAATTATTCGGTATTATCTCCTTTTAATGAAAGAAAATTGACATAAGTAGGAACGCTTCCAGTCAGTCCAAGTCGCAATCGAAATCGAGACAAAGGTGTAATTTTGTTCGTAGTATGTAACATTAATTAACGTTCCTTCCTGTACTCAGCTGCCCGGGTGAAGCTCATCTCGAGTGCAATTACTTTGGCTCGCTGTACCGAGACCACCCATCCTCGTGCGCCGATTGGCTGGTCCATCGGAACAGCCCAGCGGAAAGCTTCGCGGCCGATCGATAGTTCTCCAGGTTGCGCGCCGCGGTATAAAGAACCATAGAACATATATATAGAGATAGGGACACACTCGCGCACGGAATTCGCGAAAACTCTAGCGCGTTCGCTCGCATCGCCCTGGCAACGAAGGCCGCGGTCCCCGGGCACCCGTTCAGGGCAGCTCGCTCCCCGTGAGGGGGAAAGGAAGGGGACGAGCGGACGGTGCGCGCGAGGAAGGGAGACGGAGCTAACGAAAGCGCGCACGGAACGAGAGAGGATGGATCGATGAACCGGCGGTGACGAGGCAAGCCGTAATTGGCTGGCCGGCGGCGGGTCGCACTCCCCATTGGCCGGCAGGTCTCGCCGCGGCTCCTGATTGGCCGGCGGCTCACGTGACGTCGCGCGCCGGCCCACGTGATCCGCGGCCTGGCGGAAACGCCACCAGTCGCTCGCTTCCGTCTTCCCGTCGCCTGTCAGCCATTGCTGCTCTGTTCGCCGGGTCCTTTGGGTAAGTCTCTCCGGGTTTTCTCTGTCTCGGGTCCCGCGATTTGGTTTCAAAGTCCCGAAGCACCGCGCCTAGCTCTCTTGGCGAGATTCCGACGGCGCTTGCCGCGGGTTTTCGATCCTCACAGAGGAGATTCTCGAGCTGATCTGGCTGCTGTTCGCAGGTTCGATCGGCGCAGGGCATCACCGTTGTTGAAGGCAAGCACCGGAGAGAACTCTCGTCTACGTACGTCCGTTTCGAGGAAACTGACGAGATGTACAACAACGGTTACCCCGCGCAAACCTCGTGAGTATTCTCTGGGTGTTAATTCGGGCCGCTGGGCGATATCAAGGTCGCTGAGGAGAGCCGATCGATAATGCCGCGGCATTGTACCGGGGAGTCGCGATACGGCGCGCCGCCATTTTGCCTCGCGAAATTTTACACCGAGGGGAAATTCCGTTACGCGTTGGAGCGTTTTTGCCAGGAAAGGGGACGAGAGAGGAGGCCGAACGCTCGGCCGAGTTTGCGAAACGAGCCAACGCGAGACGACGTTTCGTTAATGTGTCGTCGGCCTCGATGACTTTCGACGTGCTGGACGATTCGTGATGAAATTACAGCTTAGACTTTTTTTTGCATATGTTTCTGCGATTATACTAAATTGTCATTAATAAAGGCTTTGCACCAATTCTGTAACTTTGAGTTGGACGATTTAAAGATCTACGTATAGCAGATCTTATTTTGATTATTGCAGGAAGTACCTGAACGTCTATGCTTTTGTTATCTTCTTTTTTATTAAGCCGACCAGTGACTTAAATCACACAGCTGTTACGAAAAGTGATTTGTGCATAAATAATTCTCTGGTTTTCTTTTGTATAGAGTTGGTGTGTTAATCATCTTGGCTTTCGGTGTTTTAATTTGAATGGAAAATTTCTCTTACCTTAGGAGGTTCTTTTCTTGGGAATGAAACGAGAATCAGGTTGGCCAGGCAAGTTTACTTTGCAGGGTGTTATGACATAATATTTTGGTACGATATTGCAGATCTTAATTTTCTTCGTAGTTTTGGGACATTTCCGAATAAAGTTGCAAATTATTAAATCTCTTGGTCCCTTCTTTTTTTTTTTTTTTTTAATGAAATTCATGTATCTATGAAATTTTATCAATGTTGAAATCTTAATTCAAATTCCAAAATTTCAAAGATTTTGATTTAGTAATTAAGGAACCAAGGAGACATTTATTCTGAATAATGCAAAAAGTTATCGTGTTATTTTTTCAAGCAAGGTGTCAATTTAAATTAGACATGATTTATTTTCAATTAAAAATACTATAGCAAATTATTTTATGAATGGAATTAAGATCTTGTCATCTTGATTTTGATATCTCATTTTGAATGAAGACAAACCTTTGTCAAGCATTGAAATGCTTGCAATTCAATACGTATAAAAACTACCTACCTTGAGAATTTTTTGAAAATTAATTGTTTTTATTATTCACTAGAAGGATATAAATACTGTTGCAATATTGAAGCTGCGAACTTTTGGTTTTTCATCTTGGAAAACGAATTCTCAAGAAATTAAGTTTTTGTTCGGCATTGAAATGTTCTTGCTTTTTTGTAATTTAAAGAAAATAACTACATTAACTTTTTGAGTACGGATCCCTCTGGGCATATGGGTGAAGCTCATGGATGAATGTGCAGGCAATATTGGATCAAACGTTGTCTTTACGTGCTTTAATAGGCAAAGGGTTAAGAAGTTTTTCATCATACTGATGGAATGTCTCATATTTGGGCTTTTGACTCTAAATTTTGTTTTATATAAAATTGAAACTTTCAATATTAAAAGCTTCTATTTCAACTCCGAAAGAATTGCCTGTTAAAACACATAAATTTGTCACGGAATATAATCTGTATTATTAAGAACAAGAAATGTATGATCTGTTGTAATCAGGAGATTAATTGTATTTAGTTATTTTTGGGGAAATTTTACAGAAACTGCACACCACGTAAACTACTGAAACATTCTGTTGAAAATTAAGTTGTGAAAAATTGTAACAAAAAAAATAAATACACATAGATTGTGAATTACACCTTTGTTTAAACGATTCTTGGAAACGTCCAACTCTACTGCCCACAAAGTCTTCATAAAGCTGCTGTATTACTTAATAGATTTCCTTCATGTTTTGTATGTGCAGCAAAATTTAATACAAGATAATTTTGTTAAGTGTTCATTGTTTTCCTAATTTGAATTGGGATTATTCAGGTGACTAAATTATAAAAAAATTGTCTCATATACCATAGGAAAGATTTATAATGCTGTTACGTTAATTTAAAGATTTCTCTCAGAATGTGTTTAAAACAAAGTCATTATTTTGTTAATTACAATAACGTTTTCACAATAAAAGAGTAATTGCATGACGAGGCAGTGAAATGATGCACAATTCAAAGTCGAGACCAGTTTCTAGATAAAGCATAGCTCTAGGCAGATTTATGTTTCATTTTCTACTCAACCAATGTGACCCCATTTATCCAACTATTTTTGGATAACATTTGAATACGCAATATAACAACTTAATCTATTTGTGTCAGACAAACATTATAGTAATTTGAAAATGCAATTCAAATCACAATTATGTAATTCGATTGTATCTCTAGATTTACTTTTGATTCGTTCTCCATAATTTCACGTGGGCACTATTAAATGTAAAAGAAATTATTAAATGTTTTGTTTATTCTTTGAAATTCATAAAGTTCGTCATATTGTCTCCTTTGTAACCTAATTTTTTGTCACGTCAAGGAAAAACTGATACAATGTGAAATTTGTTAAAATTAACTTTCTAATATTAACAAAATATTTAGTTATAAACATACAATTTAGACGAATTTCGTTACAAATTTACGATTTATACACAAATCCTGTTACAAAATCGTAGCACGATAATAAGTACTATATTAAGGTTTGACAGAAAAATCAAAAAAGTTTTTTAAAAATACTTACATATAGGTGTGTGATTTCAAAGTCAGATGGCATTATAGAGGATTGAATTGATTTATAGCAGTTTCGAAGAAACCTAACTTATTTTACTTGAATCTTAGCAAAGAATTACATAAAAATCGTATACGATATGAATTAAGAACTATAGCGGCAGAGTGATGTAAGAATTTTATGCAATAGCATTTAATAACCATTTGTTATTAGTTATATATGTATTAACTTTTTGTTACAATATATCTCCATTAATTGATGGTTATCGCTACTGGTATATAATATGCATCGTTAATCGTTATGTTTCAGTTACAACAAGTGTCAGCTGAGACCCAGAGGAGGGAACAGAGAGTTTGGCAACCGGAACGGGAGTGGAACCTACTGGAACAGCCAGCAACAAAGTCAGAACAACTATAGGTCCAAGAAGCAGCATCAGAAGAAGTCGCCTGGTGAACTGTTGAAGAAACCGTCCTGGGAACTAATGTCTTTGCCCGTCATTACCAAGAATCTCTACGTGCCTCATGCTAACGTCATGAAACGCACCACCGACGAAGTAACCAAGTACCATGCTGGTAAAGAGATCACCGTCAAAGGCAACAACACTCCCTACCCCATTCAGGCCTTCGAAGAGAGCAACTTTCCCGACTATGTCATGGAGGAAATTAGGAAGCAGGGCTTCGCCGAGCCAACTGCCATTCAGGCCCAGGGATGGCCGATTGCTCTTAGCGGTCGAGACCTTGTTGGCATCGCGCAGACTGGATCTGGAAAAACATTAGCGGTGAGTGTTTTGACATTATTGCTATGATTATATTGTTTATTAAAAGAGTAGAAATAATTAAGTCTGATATTTTTTCAAGGAACATTTGATCTGGAAGGGCTTCAACATTATGAGTAGTCGCCGAAGTGGTTTAAAGCACTTTAGGTTAGGTTAGAATTGATATTTGAATCGAGCTAACCTTTTTTAAATGAGCCTGAAAGAATGTCACAGAATGAAATAGGGTTCGTTTCATACTTCAATTGAATATCTGGGTGTGAATTTATATAAGTTCCCTTGATATTCTTTTCAAGCAAATTTCATATCATTTAGCCAGTTGAATCTCATTTTGCGTGGTTTACTCCTAACCTTGGATTGTTAACTTTAATGAGGGTATTAAGTTAACAAAATAGTTTCTTCCAGACATAATTAGACATACAATGCTTAATCAACCTTATTGGGATTCTAGCTAATTAGTTGTCCAATATCGATGAGAATTATTTGCCATCAATTATCCATTGCAAGCGTCTGTTACAAGCAAAATGTAAAGTAGGATTTACTTTGTGTTCCCTTAGATTCAATTTTTATTTCTCAATTTGAATTCACATTTTAACTTTGATAGATCATTCTAATTGTGGTGTTGACGGGACAAGCTTTAGAATTATTTTAGTTGTGACAGATTCATTATTTCTTAGGATTATTTTAAACGTGGCTGTATATATTTCTTGCTTCATTTAAATTTCCAATTTGAATTCCGTCTGATATCAATACATCGGACCAACCGTCGTGCGGACAGGGCAAGCTATAAATATTTTAAATGCGACAGGTTTATTATTTCTTAGAATTATTTCAAATGTATGTAATGCTGTATATACAGGGTATAACAATTTGTGTCCATTATTTCCACATTGCGGTTAAAAATGAAGTTCAAAGATCCTATACACTTTTTTCTATGATACATGGTTTGCCTGCAACGACTAATTGAAAAATTGCTAACCAGGCGCATCGATTAAAATTGTACAGGACTTTTTTGACTAAACTCTTAATGGGGATAGCGATGTGTAAATCGTGGCAACGAATTCTACTACATCCCGTATATCCTGTGTTATTCAGTTGTCCAATTTGAGCTGGAGTCGGGTTCGAATTTACTTTAGCACGTAGTGTAAACTGCATACTACACTATGTACTAAATATTTGAGAACAGTTCTTATATACATATGACGCACATGTGCAAAAGAGAATCGGGTTAATGTGCACTAATTTCAAATTAATTGTCATTACAGTTGCATTTGTTCTCCTCATATCTACGTCTGCGACAAATACTAATTTATCATATCAAGGGAAACTTAGATATTTCATGTAACATTTGCATATGTTGTACTTAATTAGTTACCGCACTTGAATTATTTTTTACTTTCGAGAATGTGTAGCATTAAGGTGATATGAAAGTGGCATTTAAGGTGAAGTTAAACCCATCTCAAATCAGACGATTCAAATAAGACACTTTCTTTTAAAGAGTACGGGATCGAACAGTCTGAAACCTTGACACGTGACTCGTGAACACCTAAGAATTATCCTGACACTTTCAAATTTTGGATTTTTTAAAATAATTTTTTGACTCAGCCCAGACCAGAACCAAAATGGCGTCGAGCTCTCACATTTCGTTCAATATACAATTATCGAAGGCTCTGATATGAGAAACGAAAGGGTCAGGACAATTTTACGACAATTTAGAACACTCTGGTAATTGATGAACTCGTATTTGAACGGGATAAAGGGAAAAAAAGTGTGTTATGCGCTTCTAAGCTAAAACGATGGTAATACGAGATCTCGGAGTGAAAATTTAGTTGACACGGAAATCACAGATGGCGCAGAGGGTCACTCGGTAGTTAATTGGGGCCGCAGAAGCCATGAATCGAGGGGATTTCTGGAATTTTACTTCGATTTCTTTATAATTATTGTACGAAGATAACAGGTGGGGTATGCAATTTAGTACAATACCCAATATATATTGACACAACTGTCAATATAAAAACGAACGTTGGCAACGTAGGTATTTAGAATAATCCTTTTTAGCGACATCGATCGAGTTCCTCGTGTTTCACATCACCCTAAAGGGTTTCATTTATAAAACTTCTCCGGATTGGACATACCGATTCGTTTGAAATTTTACTACGTGAATGTAGAAACCCTAAGAAATGTCCCAACACCCTTGAGGTTTAATTTAAATTAGTTTACAAACCTTTTTCATTTGTTATAAAAAAATAAATAAAGGAATTTTACGGGTGTCATGACCTTTCTCGCAGCCTCCAATATTCACGAAAAAAAAAAAATGTCAAATTCGATACACCTAGTTTGCAGAGAAAAAATTTCATAATCCTTCATTGGCACTTATGTATCACCTTCATCACAATAATTATGCCGAAGGATTATTTTAAATGAAGATTAGGTTATAATAGAAAATTAATTAAGAAACTTTGTAGAGTTTCGCATTACATATATATGGGGTAGGGTGTAGGGTGCGACATGTTATGAAGGAAGGCATACATAAAGGATTATTTTCACTAATATTTCTACGAGTTATTTTAAACGTGGCTGTATGTATGTCCTGCTCTATTCGATTTTCCTATCTGAACTTTGCCTCTGGTTTCAGTACATTTTGCCAGCCACGGTGCACATCAACAACCAGCCCAGGTTGAGCCGCGGAGATGGACCGATCGTGCTGATCCTCGCACCGACCCGCGAGCTGGCTCAGCAAATCCAGACGGTGGCGCGTGACTTCGGCTCGTCGTCCTGCATCCGCAACACTTGCGTCTTCGGGGGCTCCCCTAAGGGACCCCAGGCTCGCGACTTGGAGCGCGGCGTCGAGATCTGCATCGCCACCCCCGGACGCTTGATTGATTTCCTCGAAAAAGGTGAGGGATTCTGGGCAAAATTCACCCGGGTACACATCTGAGCACGAACGCGCATCAGACAAAGCGAACATACGAGGGCGGACAATCAATCTAACAAGGAAGGTACCTGAGGTGTCCCTCTCCGATTTTGTTCATTTTTAAATATGTTATAGAGGACTAAAATCTAAGGGACCCGTGTTTTTTTTTATCGGCGGATAAACACTTTTAGAGGGTGAAATCAGGCTTCAAGGTTGGTCGTGCAAGGGGGTGAGTTGGCTGTTTCATATAGAAACACTCGACCGATTTTCATGAAACAACCGTCAAAATGTAGGGAATGAAGAATTATGAAACATGCATTAGGAATTTTTCGAAAAAATTCATTTTTAAGGGGTGAGACACCCCTTTGAATATTTCTTTTACCCCTTACGCGAGCAGTAATTGCTCTATCCAAATGAAACATGGTTCATTTATAGAGCATAACAATACAAAAATAGTTTCATTTGGATAGAATAATTACTGCTTGCGTAAGGGGTAAAAGAAGTATTCAAAGGGGTGGCTCACCCCTTAAAAAAGAATTTTTTCGAGAAATTCCAAATGCATCCTTCATAATTCTTCATTCCCTACATTTTGACGGTTCCATGAAAATCGGTCGAGTGCTTTTATATGAAACAGCCAACTCACCCCCTTGCACGGCCAACTTTGAAGCCTCATTTTACCCCCTAAAAGTGTTTCCGCTGATAAAAAAAAAACACGAGTCACTTAGATTTTAGTCCTCTATAACATATTTAAAAATGAACAAAATCGGAGGGGGACACCTCAGGTACTTTCCTTGTAAGTGCGGCAAACTGCCTAGGATCATTTCAACATACTATCCGAGACTGTTCGAATGCCATTCGTCAAGATGTCCGTTCATTGCCTCAGACGATTTTGTTCGTTGTCGCGGACACTTCTGAGCAGAGTTGGGTGTTTGCGCTGCTTGAAAATGAGCGCTGAGATAAGTTCCTGGCGGGTAAATTCAGAGTTCATTGAATTTGCACCACCCACGAGTTTAAATAAGAAGAACAATAACAATTTATTGTACTAATATAACGGATAGAGAATACAATTTGTCGATGTGAATTCGCGGTACAGTCGCGTGTCCGGGTTGTCTGTTAGCTGTACGATATCCCTTGAAAATGCGTCGCCATGGCAGACCCTGAAGTGACCACTTTGAAGACCCCCCTGGTCGGGGTCATGAATTCTGAGTCCTTTCTTTAACTATTTTCTGACCACGTGCGGGACACTCCTTTGAGAAAGTGTTTCGCATTGTCCATAGCTAAATGTTGCTCAAATGTTCTTCAGGCCGCCTCATTCCAATCAGATGGTTCAACATTGGGTAATTTCGCGTTTTTTGAGGCTTTTGACGTATATTATGTAAACTCTTGTAGTTTACCGTAGAAAATCGTAGAAAATTAGTAAAGTACGTTTCCAGTACAAAGGATGCCGTAGATGCGCAATACACGGCACCTGCTAGATTATAAACATTTTTTAGCCACATGTGAACACGTAAATATGTGTGGAATAATGAATTAATTTGGCGCTTGCGTTCAAAATTGTTTTAGAATTTTACGTTTCCAATATGGCGGATACCGCAGATGCCCAATATTTGTATCCGCTACGTTATAAACGCCTTTTACCGTACATCCAAACGCGTCAAATTATTAATGACTAATTTAACGCTTGCATTCAAAATTCTTCCGACTTAACCCTGTTTAATATAAAATTTGTAGTTAGATTTAATATTTTCTGTTAAGAAATAGAAAAGCGTAATATACTTTACGCTCACGTAGAAAACTAGAGACGCATAAAACGTTGTAATATACAGGTAGAAAATCACGTATATTACATGACGTATTATATTTACCCAACCCTGTTTTTGAGTACGAGGCATTTGTTCTGCTTCACCTTGCCTCGTATGCATTTGTGTTCAGATGTGTACTTGGCTTATGCCGTGTTCTACGCTTTTGTATTTGTTGCACGTATCGGTTACACATTGCGTATTTACTTTATTTAAGTGCGAATAACGTTGATGTTTCCTGCGGAGGAATAGTCCCACGGAACATTCGATTGAAAATATACTGATCGTCCAACAGACTGACATGTAAAGAAACAGTTCAAAAGAAGTGTGAAGTGTCTTCGGAAAAATGGAAAGTATCTCTAAAGAGTGTAAAATAATATTTATCTACGGAGTTTATTTTTATGGTAAAACGGTGTGTGTCTAGAACTGAGAAGAGGATAAAGAGCATTTTAAGACTATCGATTAGTTTAAAGTGGGCGAAAAGAAAGAAATGGAGGGTAGTACAATATAAACCTGAAGTCACTATTTTCCTCCGTGTTCTTCTTTTTTTTTTCCGCCGACTTCAAACCGATGGTCAGTCTTGAAATACACTTTATTTTTTCTTCTTACTGCTACATAGGTAAGATTTTATTAGAAAAGTAAACTAGATGGATAAATATTATTTCATACATTTTAGCGGTACTTTTTAGAGATTTCTCTTGATTTTTTTTTGGGACCTTTAGTTTTTATATAAGAAAGTTTTTGTTCATCATCAGTTCTATCATATTACGTGACTCAGCTAAATAAAAACTGCTGTGCCGTAGTAAATTAGATCTATGGCGATGTGTACTATTAACTGTTTAGGATTTTAATAATCCACCTTAGGATTCCATAATCAGATTGACGACATGTATTCGGTACTACCGCACAGTGGGTCAAATTAAATATTCTTTTGCCAAAAAACAATTTTCGGCAATAATCTAAAAATTGTTTGGAGGGTCTCAGCTTCGTACGTAATCTTTTCTTAAATTACCATATAACATTAGGCTCGTTCTAATGGAAATAAATGTGATTTTGGACAATATAAACAAAAATTACAAAAGATTAATCAAACGTAAGCAGTTGATTCTTTAATATTTATAGCTCATACGTAATTTCCTAATGGATCCTATCATTTAGAACATAAATATCCTTATACAAAGCCAAACAAAAAATTATTTGTTTCACAATACAATGATACATATAAAATAAAATATTTAAAAATCGCCGCTGTGAAATAATTTCCGACGGTTCTTTTACCAGGTGATTCATTTAACTTGAGACACCGAAATATCTCGAGAAATACGAATCGTACGAAAAAAATGTTCAGAACGAAAATTATTCGTATCCGAGGCACACAAAGAGGAGTTATCAGTCGGACCGTAGATGGCGCTCTTGTCGGTGAAAGTGAGGTTAGGTTCATTTTCTTAAATGACAACCCCCTTTTTTTATTGCAGATTCATATTCTACATACATAAATGAGAAACTTTTGTTGGAAATATTCTTCCTGGATAGTGCCCCTCTGGTACGAATAATTTTCATTTTGAACAATTTTTTCATACGATGCGGATTTCTCAAGATATTTCGGTTCGGTTCAAGTTAAACGAATCATCGTGTATAATGCTCCTTTACGTTAATGATATTTGCAGTTGCTACAACCTGCAATTTTGAAATAAAAATTGATATTTACTTAATACTGTACCTATCTAAAATTATTCCTTTCCAGCAATAAAATCATAACATTTAAATTGCCCATGTTTAATGTTTCTAAATTCTGTCCAAAATTTACCAGCAATTATATCGACTGTTATGTTGCGCGTTGATGTTTCGCGCCCCCAAAATAATGTTTATACGGCAAAATGATTACAAACGGTTGTACTGATTAAAGAAAAATGTGAAAAAGTTTCTAAGTTAATGTTTCATATTTGTTGCGATGTAAAATGCATAATGAAAGATAATATATGTTTTTGGAAAAAGAATATTTAAATTGACCCACCGTGCATCGGGGAAACATTCTTTTTCAAGCAAACAAAGAAAGAATCGTCCAGTTCGGTCTATACGCGGTACGAAATTATGCGTCAACTACCCAAAAAATACTGGTCAAATTCAGAACTTCCTTTTTGGAAGTCGGTTAAAAACCAAAGTTGTACATATTTGATAAACACACATGGCTGCGCAGGCAAAGTCGTACACTTGTCAATCCCACAATCTATCATTGGGAACTGCTGTTGTATAGTCAAACTCAACATGTTTGAGTGCAAACATGCAAAGCTGTCAACTTGAAGATTTCCCTTGCATAAAACTTGTGCGAATTTCGGCTACGAGCGTTAGTGTTCCACGTGACGTCGCTGCGATGGAGAGAAGACACTATATATGCGACGTGGTAGAAACAGCTAACACAGGACTATTTATCCGAGCCCTTATACGATTTCCTATTAGATTTATTACGTAAACGCCCCGGTTCTTGTAAATATCGAGCTCTTTTGTTGGGTGTACAACAGACGCCTGTTTTTTTTTGTAGAATTTCTTTGGTAACAGTGTCTTTATTTCCTTGCGTGAAGTATGGCATTTTTATTAAGTCCCGACGTCCGATGACTAAAGCTGGGTACACATCTGAACACGAACGCGTACGAGACAAGGTGAGGTCAAACGAATGCCTCGTATTCGGATGTGCACGTGGTAACGATTTAAATCGTCCGAGGCAATGGACGGACATCTTGACGAATGGCATACGAACAGCCTCGGGTAGGGTGTCGAATGATCCGAAGCAGTTAGTCGCACTTCGATTGATTGTCTATCCTCGTACGTTCGAATTGACTCATACACGGTCGTGTTCAGATGTGTGCCTGGCTTAAGGTGAAGTGAAACCCCCTTCAAATCAGTCGATTCGAATACAACACTTTTTTTTTAAGGGTATTAGACAAAACTGTCCGAAACTTTGACACATCACTCCCGATCATATAAGAATTGTCCTGACATCGTTGGGTTGTTCGGTAGAATCTCAAAAAAAAAAAATGATTCCTTTGAAATCCCACCAAACAGATACCATCACCTTTTTTTGATGAATTTCGGCTTTCGAAGTTCTTTGAGCCGGTTCATCTTTTTTACTCCATGACCTCTTACGTGTAACATTGTCGTAGACAACCCATTTCTCGTCCCCAGTGATGATGCGCTTCAAAAATGGATCATATTCTTGACGTTTGAGAAGCAAATCACAGACGTCAATGCGATGACACAAATTTCTTTCCGTAAGAACATGAGAAATCCATGTCGAGCTTTGAAATTAAACTTAGGCGTTTCAAATGATCACGAACGGTCGAATTCGATAAATTTAATCTCTCAGCGATTTCACGAGTTGTTATTCGCCGGTTTGCATCAATTAATGCCTTTATTGTGTTTTCATCAGCTTTAAGTGGCCTTCCAGAACGTGGGGCATCTTCAATATCAAAATTGTCAGATCGAAATTTTGCAAACCAGCTTTGACCCTGGCGTTCTGTCAATACATCTTCATACACATCGGATCATTTTTTTCTTGCTTGAACAGCATTTTTACCTTTTCGATAGTAAAAAAGTAAAATATGCCGAAAATGCCGCTTTTCACTTTCCATATTTGAAAGGGTACCAACCAAAAACTACTGCGTAGAATCAATCAAACTTTTTCACAAGCAACCCTTGCTAGATCAGCTGTCAAAATATATAATGTTTATGCGGCTTAAGTGTGAATTTGGCCGTAAAAAAGAAAATTAAGTCCTCTGTTGGGAAACAACGAAATTACTTTCCGAACAACCCAATACTTTAGAATCTCCATATTCACGTGGTAAAATTTCGAATGAATTGGTATACACCGAATTCGGAAAATACTTTCATCAACGATTTTACTTCTCTGATATATATAGATTGACCCTTTCATATTACCTTAAGGGACTTCACGCACCTAGAGGTAGGAAAATAAGGTGACGCTTTTCTTCGAACTGGATGCGCCGAATCGTTTGAAAATTTAGTATGTGATTATAGAGGTATTAATGAAGATTGTACGATTTAGAACACTGTAGTAATCAAACATAACGGATTCTTGTGAGAAGTTTCGAGAAATGTTTTATAAATTTGTGTAATGAAATTCTTGAATGTTCCGTGAGGACAATGTGTGCCCTGTAACTGTTTTTACAGCAAAAATGTAGATGCCGCTAAATTCATCACATGGCGCCGTTGGTCGATTACAGTATCAAAGGCTATAAATCTAAGAGATTTCTTGAGTTTTCCTTCGATCTTTTTATATTCATTCTACTGAAATAACATGAAGTGCTCCATTTTTGTAATTTTCAATGTAGAGTGTAACAGACATCGGTATAAATATAATTGTCGGTAACGTGAGGCACCAGTCTGTGTTACCACTCGAGTATCCAAAATGGCGTACCACTGAAAAGGGTGTGGATGAATTGTAATTTTATCCACGCCGATTAAACTTCTCGACGCTTTTCATATCACCTTATGGTAAAGTGTCCCTACATTAATCAGTCCGAGGGACTATTTACTTGGAAATCAGAGAAAACGATTTCCATCTTTGAGAGCCGATTGCCTTTGATTTTATAAACGACAATGCGATTCGGTAATAAAGTGACGTTCGGGCTTAAAATTGTAACACTTTTTCGGTGATTTTTAATGAATTCCAGTGATTTCTGCTTGTGATTTTCACCTGATTTCCGTAGGATGTTTAAGCGTTAAAATCCATGATTTCCTGAGTGAATATCCCCTCGAATAAGTCGATTCGAATAAGACGCTTTTTGTAAGGATACTGGACCGAACTGTCCGAAACTTCAACATATGACTCGTGAGTACCTAAGAACTGTCCTGACACTTTCAAAATTTGGATTAAAAAAGAAATTGCTGATTTAGCCTAGGCCAGAATCAAAATGACGTCGAGGTCTCATATTTTGATCGCTTATCAATTATTGAAGGCTCTGATATGAGAAAGGAGAGTGTCAGGACAATTGTACGACAATTTATAACACTCGTAATCGAGAAACTCGCATTTGAAAGGGATAAAGGCAAAAAAGGGTCTTATGCGTTTCTATGCTAAAACGATGTTAAACGTGGGGTCCCGGAGGGGAAATTTAGTTGGCACTGAAGCCACAGATGGCGCAGGGCGGCACTCTGCAGTCAATTAGTGCATCAAAAACCATAATTCCAGGGGATTTCTGGAGTTTTACTTCGATATCTTTATAATTATTGTATGGAAACGGCACATGGAGTATACCATTTAATACAATTCCCGATATAATTTGACACTGCTGTCGATATAAGTACGAACGTCGGTAACGTAGGTATTTAAAAGAATTTTTTTTACCAATGTCGACCAAATTTCTCAACGTGTTTCATTCCACCTTAAGGGGATGTGAAAGCGGCATCCGAGAGCTCAATTGTTTATAAAACTTTTCTACGAATTGGGTTTCTCAAATCGTGTCATAGTTTAAAACATGAATATGGAGACATTAAGATAGGTCCTGAAACTCGCAAAATTTCATTTTCTATAAACTATTTTTAAACCACCCATATACAAATTTGAAAATAATTGAAGTTTCATGAGTTTCAAGACCTTCCTTATAGTCTACCTATTCACGTTGTAAAGTTTCAAACTATTTGGTAAACCGAATTGGGAGAAAAGTTTTATAAACAAAACCTCTTCGACGCTATTTTCACATCACCTTAAGTACTCGGACATGTCCATACCACATCCTTTCTAATCAGAGCTGTGTATGTTCGTGGACAGATGGACATATCGTCTTCTTCTAGCGTTTTTACCTGAGCTACCCTTTCTTTTTCTAGTGTTGCGTGAGTGCAGGTGCATAAGCAACACGATGTCCGTGTTGAATAACATAATTTTTCAGGTATTGTTACGCTCTATCATACCGATGGAATGTTGAAACTTTTAAAAATTACATTTACCAGGAATTAAAAAATAAATATTTTGAAAATTTACGTCAATGACGTGACAAAATTCGTTATCTAACTCAAACATTTTTAATTTAACATCTCCATCTTTATTTGAAGAGTTTGGAAAATCGAAAATTACGTGGAAATATTCTCGTTAGTCGTTCAGGGGTGCCGACATGTTACACTTTTGCCACACTTGTTCCCTACGACGGTGGTAAAAGTGCATGGACTCGATTGCAGAATAATAGCATCGTTAATCCGACACTGTGAAGCTGAACATGATACACTTGCACGGTACGCACTAGGCAACCAGTCGAACACGTTTTGTGGTACTACTCTACACCAGTGGTACGCAATGTAACCAGTTAACATGATGTATGAAAGGCGCTGAGAAATTTAATTGAGGTCAATGAATTAAAATTCATTTATACCCTTTTTGCTGGTAACGTAATTTTGAATACTCAAATGGTAACAAACTGGCGGGTCTCGTTATCAACATTTATATTTGTTGAAGTCTTTTACAGTCTACGTTGAGAATTATACGAACTGAAACGTTCCATATGTCATTTCGGTAAAGTAATGATGAAGAAATCGATGCAAAGCTCGAAATCCCAGTAATTCATTATTCTAACGACTGTTTAGGACCAACGTCGCCATCTGTGGCGTTTAGCTACAACTAAATGTTTTCTGTAAAAATACGTGTTAGCCACGAGACAAGCCAGCACCTCTCTCAGCTCAGCAGCTCTTGCAATCGTTGGTGAAAGTATTTTCCATATTTTCCCATCTGACTCTGTAATATTTCATTTCTACGGTATTCTAAATTATTCGAACTAGTTCCTGAAACTCCTCATTTTCTATTCTAAGCCTCCAAGAAACATAAAACATTGAAAACGGTCACGGACCACTCCATGTTGGTTCTAGTACAAGATAAATAAATACATTTTTTATCAAAAATGAAGTTTTATGAGTGTCGGGATCTACCTTAGTGCCTCCATATTCACGTAGTAAAATTTTAATAAACTCATTCATATCTCCTTGAAAACACTATTAGATTTACCTTAGGCTGTTCATGCGAGTACGAATACGTCACTCCATATCCATGTTAATGCTCCGGAAGTGATCTGAACCGCTATTTTCACTCAACGGGTGATAGTGAAAGAAATGAAATTTAATTCTAAATTGACTTTTCATGCTGGTACATAATGGCGCGTTTCGTTGCATTTCCAGGCACGACCAACCTGCGCCGTTGTACCTACCTGGTGTTAGATGAGGCCGATCGTATGCTGGACATGGGTTTCGAGCCACAGATCAGGAAGATCATCGAGCAGATCAGACCCGACCGACAGGTACTGATGTGGTCGGCGACCTGGCCGAAAGAGGTACAGGCCCTGGCCGAGGACTTCTTGACGGACTACATCCAAATCAACATCGGGTCGTTGACCCTGGCGGCGAACCACAACATCCGGCAGGTGATCGAGATCTGCCAAGAGCACGAGAAGGAGTCCAAGCTGTCGAACCTGCTGCGGGAGATCGGCTCCGAGCGGGGCAATAAGACGATCATCTTCGTCGAGACGAAGAAAAAGGTCGACGACATCACGAAGGCGATAAAGCGCGAGGGCTGGTCGGCAATCGCCATCCACGGGGACAAGTCGCAGCCCGAGAGAGACTACGTCCTCTCCGAGTTCAGGAACGGGAAGACGGCGATCCTGGTCGCGACCGACGTGGCGGCGCGCGGCCTCGACGTCGAGGACGTCAAGTACGTCGTGAATTTCGACTACCCGAACAGCTCCGAGGACTACATCCACAGGATAGGAAGGACCGGGCGCTGCCAGAGCGCGGGCACGGCCTACGCGTACTTCACGCCGAACAACGCCCGGCAGGCGAAGGAGCTGATCGCCGTCCTGGAGGAGGCCGGCCAGGTCATCAATCCCCAGCTGGCCGAGTTGGCCAACTCGCAGAGGCACCATTACGGCAAGGGCCGCCAACGTTGGAACCAGAGCCGCTCGAAACACGACGGCCACCCGTCCTCAAGCCCGAGGAACAACTCCAGCCCGAATGCCGGCAACAGCTGGCAGAACGGCCAGCAACACGTCTCCCAGCACCAGGACCGGCAGCTCCAGCGCCAGCAGAACGGCTACCAGAGCATCCGACAGAACGGCTACCAAAGCAGCTACCACCAGCAGCAGCAGCAACAGATCGCCCAGCAGCAGCAGCAGCAGCCTCAACAGCAACAACCGCAACAGCAACAACAACAGCAACAGCAGCAGCAGCGCCAGTCCAACATGTACCAAAACGGCTACCAGTCGTCGGGCAGTCCGCCCTATCAGAACGGTACCGCCACGGGGTACCAGACGGGCGGGGCTCCGCGCTACCAGAACCGCACCAACGGATACCAGGGCAACCGTTTCAACAGCCGGCAGCAGCAGAACGGTTACGTCGGCGGACAGAGCAGCCAGAGCGTCTACTCGATGCCGCCGCCCTTCATGATGCCCCCGAACGGGCACACCGACAGCGGCATCCAGAGCTTGGTGAACAACAAGTTCTTCCAGGCAAATCGACCGCCGCCCGCAACCAACGCCTGCGCCTACCAGTCCATGGGATATGGACAGTTCCAGGCCGTCCCGCCGTACGGATACCCCTACCCACCGACCCCGGTGCAGCAGTGACGCCTTACCCAGGACGCGCCGCAGCCGCAGCTCGAGGCCTACGTTCGCTGAACGGGGACGCGATTCGCGTTATCTCCTCGCCAGGCGGGATCGGGCTCTCGTCGAGTGCGGCCTGACGCCGTTGAGTATGTTCTTGAAGTAACGATTAGTCTATTTGCTTTGTTTCTCACCTTTCCTTATATCGGTTTCTTGATGCGAGCGGCCTCGCGATCGGAGTCGGTGCCCCGGGGCTTTCAGGGCGTCCCTGCAGGCGGCGAGACTCGAGGTGGCGTCTCCGCCAATGGGAACGAGGGATGACTGGAAGGTTCGCCGACGACCTGGCAGATAGCGCCACTCGGCGCGAGGTCTCGACCAACGGGGACCCGCGCCGGGTGGCGATGTCCACTCCTTGGTGGGAATTCATCGAAGTATTCGGTCGTTCGTTCATGACGATGTGGGTATTGGCCATATTTTTTTATTCCGTTTGCATCCGCACACGATCACTTATCACCAAGCGCGTAATAATCCGCGAGATACAACGTTCACTTATTTTTTATGATTTATGATGTTATTAGCGTATTTAGGGCCATGATGTAAATGGGTTAACCCTTTGGCTACGGTGCATCTGGCCGTGGAATGCGAATATTACTTACGAATACGATATTCATCCGTCGCTTTAAGTGTAAAAAGAGAGGGCTACTATAGTGGCGCCTCGTAGCTAAAGGGTTAACGGTTAAAATCCACAACTTCGTGTTCAACGTCCTAATATATGGATGACGATGCGACACAAGGTGTGATTAACGCGCGATTGGAGGAACCACGTTGGGTTGGGTAGTGTTTCTCGCCGTATCGAGTTGCGTTACACATAACTAACTTTTATGAGTAACTAACTTTATCGAGTCGTTACACCCCATGGGAACGTGATCACTTCCTCGTTTATTCCGATATTTTCGATGCCTTCAGTGCCATCCATCGGGATGGTGCTTATCGTAATTACTGTCGAGTAATCCTGAAGTTCTCTTTGTCGAGCAACCCGGGTGGACTCGTAACGAAGTTACGTCGTACGAAAGGGCAGAAATTAATTGAGGCTGACATTATATCGGAAGGGTAGGACGAATCGTGAGCATAATTGCGAACGCACCTTAGGATTGGGTGTAATCGAAGTCATTCGAGATATTAAAGTAGATAAATCGAGGACACTTGATCGATGAAATAACGAGCTGGTGTCTGCGGGTTTCCCTCGTTTCTAATGAACTTCGGGGTACGTCGAGAAGTTAATCGGACGTGTTCATTTCCACCTATTGGAAAAGAGGGAAACTAGCGAAGATCGACGCGAATATGGCTCCTCCAATCGCGCTCCTTGTCGTCGTCGAGCCTCGGGGTTGCCTTTCCGAAAAACGAGGCTCCTCTCGCAGGGAAACTAGCACGTTAGCGTTGGTATAATAAGCTCTAATAATAATCCTTAAGATATTGAATATTCGATTTCCGGAAGCCACGATATACTAGTTCTCGAAAGAAAGAAAAAAAACATGGCCGTGCTTGTTATGGTATAACTGAGGAAATAAGATGAATAATTAATTAAGAGGAAGCGGAAGAGGACGAAGAACACGAAGAAGAGGGAAAAAATGGGAGTAAAGTTCCACACTGCGAGGAAAGAGAGAGAGAGAGAAAGGGAGGGTGAAACCTATCGTAAAACTAGCTGTATGCTTTTCCGAAATGCACGAAACGTATAGAAGGGGGTGTTTCTCTCGGGGAGGGGGGAGACAATATCCAAGGGCGGGGCAACTTAGGGTTAATAATTTATAATTTATTTATACATGTATACTCGCGTACGGACTCACACACGCATTCTAAGAGGTACACACACACACACGCGCGACACTGTGTACTCGCACTCGGATGGAGAAAGAGATAGGATGAGAGGGAGGGAGAGAGAGAGAGAGAGATTAATAATTCTGCGTGAAATCGCGAGATAGAAGAGGAAGAGGACAGAGAATGCGGTCCTCCTCAAGAGGGACCCCAACGCGAGTGGCAGATAAATCCGCCATGAATTATAACGAGTTATTTAACAAACGAAGAAGAAACGAACATGCGAGCAAATATTAACGATTAATTAACGGGAGGAGCTAGGACGAGGAACGGGGAGAGGGGCTCGTTGCGACTTGCGTCGGTAAAGAAGAAAAAAAAAGGGAAAAAAGGGCCACCCGGTGGGTGACTTTCGACGCTTAGCGAGATCCGTTCGCCAGGGCGGCCGAAACTCGACTGCCGCGAGAGCCTTCTTCTCGACAGTGCGCGCGCACACCGTTGCTTAACGTATTAATAATTAGAGGCATGCGTTTGTTAACGAGCTCCTCGGCGAGACCCTTAACCGACGTCTCGCAGGAAGTACCCAGGACGAGCCCAAGATTATCCTAGATTCGATTTAAGGGGGGGCCTAAGGGAATGGCGCGCGCCCGCCCGCCCGCCCGCCCGCGCGCGCGCACGTCACCATATGGCTGTGCACGTCCCAGAGCGAAGCTCTCGCGAGTTTATTTTTGTATCGAGACACACGGGGGATTAATTAATTAATTAATTAACCTAATGGCGTGCGACGCACACGTTCGCTCATCGGGGAACGACTCCGACGAGCGGCGACGAGAGGCCCCGCGTCACCCTGCGTATCCGGCTCGCGTATCACATGGTCGGTCACGTGGCCTGAGTCAGCTGACCACCACGTGACCGCCGACGGACGCGAATCTAATGTCGATATAATCCGTACTCGGGCTTTTTTCGCGTTCGAGCCGTGAAATTGGCCGGTGCTGGGCAAGAGATTTTCTCGAGAAATTCAAGTTCCATTGTGCGTGGACTCGAGATTTAACCGGTGGAACGTCTTTGTCGAGGAGCGTTGCTAACGGTGGAGGCGGAAGTTAGGATTCCAATGGATTCCTTGGAGTCGGGTTTTGGGATGAGACGTTGGAATACCTCATGTTTTTACGATTTGCATGAAAATTATCGGAGACGAACGGTAGGCCAATATCCTATCATTCGGTATCCGATTTGAATACATTTGGGGCAATTGGCAGCTCTTCGATACTTTAGACAAAGCTGCTTAGGAATGTATTTAACCTATTCGAAGTTACTCGAATCTTAAACTGGGCTTTGATGCTCATTCTATACTCACTGATAAATTTGAAAGATGAAAAAGGGTTCTCGGAGAGAGGATAATATTAAAGTGCCCAACAAATCCGTTTCCATTGCTCAAGGGTGAGACGTGTAATGATCTGCAACGGACTTGAACGATGGTCAAATAATTTTGAACCATTCCAGCTTGATGCCGCACCTGCGCGTTTTCTGCCTCGAATAGATGCTTGCGAATCGTCTCGCGAGGCGAAATACAACATCCTGAGAGATAGGGAGAAAAAGGATCGCCCAGCACCGATAATTGGCCGACCTTTGCGCGCTTCTTCGGTTAGTCGGAAGAAAAGGAACGATCTGGTTTCCCGTCGCCTTGTCTGCGTCCGAGTAGAGCGATGCGAGCGTCTAGATTGTTTACGCGTTGTAAATGTTTAATAGGCCGCGTATGCGAGACGCGTAAAAAAAAAAGAAAAAACTGTCCTAGAAGACGAGGCTAATCAGTCGCCGTGCGCACCGACCCTCGCGATTTCGAACGGACTATCGTCAATTGTATTCCTCGTAAGTTTTCGTTCTTGTTTCGTCGCGTACATGTGTACCGTTTTATTATTTTTGTTTCACTTTTTAGTCACCCTTTTCGTTGCGCGTATACTTCCTTCCCGCGATTTATCTCAAGGAGCCGAAGCAAAGAGGAAACGCGCTCCATTCGAGCTCCGTTGAGCACCCAGCGAGCCTCTAGAATTTCGTAGAGACGATCCAAAACTCGACTGCCTGTATCGGGAGGTCTGCGTGGTACCCTTTCGACTAGGATTACCGACCACCGATGATGGTTTCAGGGCACGAGCCAGTTCCCTGGCATCGATGAACTCTCTCTTGCCTTTTTGTCTCGAGGAGCCTCGACTCGAGGGGAAACGCCCCGAAGGACAGGACCCCTGCTTTCCGTAGCTTGCTTCGACTCCGGAAGGATCTGTTCCTGGGGAAGGCATTCCCTCCGAGCGCTTCGATTCCATGGTTCCTTACAGTAGCTTAACGCGCGACAGTCTTCAAGAAGTACGACACTTTGTTACGTAGCATCGAGTCAGTTCGAAGGGAGGCCCATCGATGGGATCGCGGTAGAGCAGATTTTTTTCCTGTGTCTTGCTTGGAAGCAGCACAGCCAAGTGTGGGGAAATCTGTTGAAAATCTCAGTTCTTTGGATGGTGGACTCTCATCACCCTTCGATGGTCGGATTCTCGGGTCGTACCCTATTTATCTAGTGTTCGATAGGCCGGCATTGCTTCCGGCATCGTAGCGATGCCCTGCGAAGCCTGTTCTCTGGCTTCGACATGCCATGCACCGGAAGTGCATCGACTCCTTTCTCAATATTTGAGCAAGCCTGGGCTCTCGTTGAACCCCCTTGAGGTATTATCGATATTATCGAAGCAATTGCCTCTCGTCAGTGACGGGAAGGACCGAGAGAATCGACTAGTCTCTGAGTTTTCATCGGGATTTCCTTAGCACCCGCGTCCTCTTGAATTTCTTGTCTTTGCCTAGGATCAAAGGAGCCAGTTTATTGCCCTCTTTTCTTTCTTTTGTTCTTTTTTTAGCAGTCACCCTACAGTACCAAAGTGAGACGCTACGTTTTTAAATGGCGAAATTTCAGTGCCGTGCCAACTGTGATATGCCAATTCAAAGATATCGGTAGAGTCTTGATTCTCGCCGCGTTGACGGGAACACGCTTCGGTCTCCCTTCGCAAGATCGGGTAACGATCAAAAGTACGAATTATTAATGGAATATTAAAAGACGGGGAAATACGGTATGTCGACCTACTCGACGGAGACGCAAGAGAGAACCAAGTTTTATGCGGTAGAAACGACGATAACACGGGCAATGAGGTAGGGACGCGTTTAACTAAATAAATAAATAAATAGATAAAACTGGAGGCTCCCGCACCCTGCGTACGCCCTCCATCGAGATAGACTCCGTCGCCCCGGGGTGCTCGCGGTACAGGAACTCGGTCGAGCTCGTGCGCTTGGCGCGAAACTACCGGGCCATCTCTTTTTTTTCTTCTTTTTTTTTCCCCCCTTCGATTAAACGTCACCTGGCGAAGGAGCGCTAATCAATCGAAGACTTTTTGAGGACACCTGGCTCGCCCGAGAAATTCTAAGGAAAGGGATGACCGAATATCCTCGACGTTCTGCTGAGATTTCTGGAAAAATATTAGCACGTCGGTGTTCGATTTATGTAGAGTTCATGCTTTCGTGAAAATCGAGGTCTTTCTCTTTTGCAGAGGTTTCCGAAGCCGGGCAAACCTATCCGTAAGAGTACTCGAGCCTTTGATAAAGTTTCACTCGAAGAAGCTTTTCTCTTCGACTCGAGATTTCGAAGCTTGGAGACTTTGAATAATAAACCTTCTTGCATTAGAACGGCGAAGAAAGCAATTTTGTAGTCGCGTTTCTTTAAGGTGGTATGAAAGGGTCATTCTATATATATATATATCGAAACGTGAAAGTATTTACAAAACTTTTCTCCAAACTGGGTGCACCGAATTATCTGAAACCTTTAACGCGTGATTATGGAGGCCCTAGGGAAGAACGCGATGTTCGTGAAGTTACATTTTCTGAAAGACAATGTCTTTTTTTTTTTGGTTCTTGTCCGTGATAAATACAATTTTTTTTTTTCTTTTCGACATCAAATTTCATAAGCATCGCGTTCTTCCTTAGGGCCTCCATAATCTCGTGATGAAGTTTTAAATGATTCGGTGCACCCAATTTGGAGAAGAGTTTTATAAATATTATCACTTTTTGGTATGTATATATGACACTCTCATATCACGGTAACGTAACTCTTCCATTGTTAAAGTATTACCTCGCATTTATAAAACCTCCAGGGCCATTTCTATTGTTATTAAGAAATGTTTAATACTGCCTTTAATCAAAATCTTGTTGCGATAGAACCTGTTGTAACGAGGTGCAGAGTACTCTTGCGGTCTTACGATACAGAGAAAGTACAGAAAATTCGGGGGCGAGGGGAGGGCCAAAAGGCACGAAGAGGTGATTATTTCTTCGTGAAACTTCTTTCGAGGTGTTTCAAGTCGGAAACTGTCGACGAAAGTTTACACCGTACTAAGAGACGTGAAAAAAAAAAACGGAATACAAAACGGGCGAGCTGGGCACGAACGAGGCTAAACATTGATGGCGGGTGTACGCGTAGTTCTGTGATATGTAAGATGTAGCGTTATTAAAGGAAAATTGCTCCACACCGTTTCATATGCAACACGGACGTATATCCTCGCGAAAGAAAGGGAAATTGGAGGAAGTGCCGCGGAACAGCGACGCAAAGCCGCAATAGAGCGCTGAAAGTAAGAAAGAGAGAAAGAGAGAGAGAGAGAAACTACGAGACGAAGTATCGATCCCTCTTAAGTTATGGTCGTCGTCATATCACGCGTTATCTCGGCGTTATAACCTCGCGAAAACGAGAGAAAGAGAGATAGACACGGACACGCGAACACAGAGAGGGGAAAATAACGAACCTGCTGTCGACTGGGGTACATATTAATATTATGATTACTATTATGATTACTATTATTATTATTATTATACATACACACACATATATAGATATATATATATATATATATAAAGACAAATATTATATATATATAGAGAAGAGAGAGAGACACGAGGGAAGACAAGATGGCGCGCGAGGGACGATCGTAGGAATGTTTATCATGGGGCCGGTCCTTTGGCGAATTTCCCGATTACGAGCGAATTTAACGTGGAATGCGTGACCTCACGTTGTAAAAAATTTCGGTGCGGCCAATTAGGAAGACAATTGTAAACCAACTGCTCGAGCGACGTACTGGTCGTAACTGATAACGTTTTCAGCTGGTCGCGCTGAACACCACTGGTATGGAATATTATCATAAGATGTGTTCGACTGGTCGGTGTTGTGCCTACTGTGTCGGTAAATCGTATTCGAGTTGACGATATACTACTTTGTCCTCGATTTGTTACACTTTTATCGCCGTTGAAGAGAGCGAGGGTGACAAAAGTGCAACATATCGGCGTCCACGAACGAGCGATCCTGGATTTTTTAGGTGATACGAAAGGGTCACTCTGTGTACATAAAACGTCAAAACATTCATGAAGCTTTTCTCCAAACTTGGTGTACTGAATTATCTCAAACTTTAACTCGTAATTGTGGAAGCCCTAAGAAAGAACGCGATGCTCGTAAAATTTCACTTTTCGCCAAAAAATGTTTTTTTCTTTTTTGTTCTTGTCCGCGATAAATACAGTTTTTCGAAAAATGAAATTTCACGAGCATCGCGTCCTTCCTTAGGGCCGTCATAATCTTGTGATGGAGTTTCAAATGCTTCGGTGCTCCCAATTTGAAGAAAAGTTTTATATATATTTGGCCTATTTGGTATGTATATATGACACTTTCGTATCACCTAAAGCTCGGCTTGTGAAGATGCCGAATTTGAAATGCTTGCGACAATTAACGAGAATAGTTGCGTCGCCGAATTTCGAGGCATTCGTCTTCTCGTTTTTGGCAATTACTATTTTAAACTCGTTCGATGCGATAACACCGCCATGGCGTAACGATACACGAAGAGGGCGTACACTCTTCGACACGGACACCGTGTTGGTACGCAGTTGCATTACACTCGTGCAACACTAGTGTATAGTTAAGCCCAGCTAAAAACGCTATAAAGTTTCATTGTATCGCGGTGGGAGCTTGTCGGGGAGGGGTGGATATTAATAGTGGAGATGAGTTCTTCTGTACCCCCAGACCATGTATTATATCGGGTTGTCGGAAAAGTCATGACATATTTTTTCTATGCCATCCGCGACGCAAATGCGTCATGACTTTTCCGACCGCCCAATAGATCGGTGTGCGGTATCCTGATCTTCTTTCTAAGGAAAGGGTGGTTGGTGTATATAACCTACATAGAAGACAAACTCGAAAAACGAAATCAAGGAGGATCAGACGGAATAATTAAAGAAATGCAGAAAACGCTAGAATTTGAGTTGGCTAAAGTGTCCATCGGATATTGCAAGCCAAGATAAGCGCTGCGAAAAGACACCATCGCAACCTCGCAAGGGTTGTGGGAGTTTTATCGTTTTATTCCAGGTGTACTCGATCGGATTTTGATAATGGTCTAGGTATACAGAGGACGGCGTTGAACGTAAATGTTGTTTCAATACTTCGGATTTGCAACGTGAACTATGTGAAAAATGGGAATATTACCGTACCCTAAAAAGAACAATGGAAGACAAAAGTCAGCGCTGCTGGAAATTCCCCAGGATTTTCCCTTAGAGAACGTCCTAATAGGGATTTTTCCTTTATTCCGACAGCTCTGGGAAAGGTTTCATCGTATCCACTCCGAACCGACTTGCGTCGAACTTTCTTCCTACCCGAACTCGACCGTTTCACAAAAGAGGGTCCACCGTATCCGCATCCCAGCTGATAACATCGTCGATACGAATGCTAGATTTACCAAACCAGTCGTTTTAAAAAGAAGCACCATCATTACCCGTCAAGGTGTCAATCGTTTCGACCGGTATTATGAATGACAAAACGAACTGTGTTCCCGTTAACCTCGAGTTTACGGATGTACGGATATGTGGATTCTTTTTGTCATCTGAAATGCGTTAAGGACGCTCACCACTCCAGCGATTTTGCAGGGCCTCACGGGAACAACGATTCCGAACGTATTTCTAAACCGATCGAGCTTAACGAGTGTTCATATCGAAGATGAAACGTTGACCCGCGTTTATATGGGAGAGATTTTCGATAAGTGGTCATTTTCATGTAAAAAGGTGCAACGACATAATTTCAATGCCCTTTTTACCTAGGAAGGAGGTGTTTGATCGAAAATCGCTCCCATATAAACACACGTCAACGTTTTATCTTTAAAACGAGCACTCGTTGAGCTCGATCGATTGAGAAATACGCTCAAAATCGTTGTCCCCGTGGAGCACCTTTTTCGGGATTTTCGGGTTTCTCGCGAGGAATTTGGGCATTCCTTGGCAACCGTTGCCGACTCTAGGCGGAGCGTCCAATTGGCGTGTGCGGGCGGTCGGGCGTCACACACGTTTCGGCGCCTGGTCCAGAGGCGTCTAGCTGTTGCGTGAGTCCTATACGTGCAAAATAAGCACACATTTTTCGCCCGTTGCTAAACACCGCCCATTGTGCGTCGCGTCTCCCTCATCCGAGCGAGAAAGTACGTTTTGGTTACCTCCCACCGAATTCGATGCTAGTGCCATCTAGCGGTGGAAGTCCTCGTCCCCACTTTGGTGGTGAACGCCGTTAACGATGGATTCGGTAGATCTAGGATCGATCGAACGATCGGCTGTATCGAGCTACCTTTAAACGGAGGTTCCACTGTATTCGCACCCGAACTAACAGCGTAGATGTTAATCGAACGATCGGCTGTATCGACACCCGAGTCGAGGAGCGTCGACGGAGGTCCCGCTCCGTGTTATCGGAACCGGGCCCAACGACGTTAAAATAGAGGTTCCACTGTATCAGCGGCGAACGATGGATCTATTATCCGATCTCCTCGACTTATATTTGCGGTTAACGCGGTTAAGTCAAGAAACGGACGCGGTCGCGACGCGGCCCGAATAACGGACAACCTCCTACAAGTCGTATGCGATTATTAATCTTTATACATGCTACTTCTGTAAAACCGTCGTGTCGCCAAATTATGAGAAAGATAGGCGTGATCTCAGAAAGTACCCAGCTTTCACGGTTAATCGGGGCCACTGGTTTAAGGGTTGCTGGAAACCTCAAACGACTATCCGCAATTTTATGGCAATCTTGGAAAAGTTGCCGTTTTTCATCCCGATTCGACGCTAATTACGCAATGCGTAATACGAGCATAAACGTATTGCGAATGTCATAGATGGGACCTCGATAGGTATGGAAAAGAAATTCTTGCTTCAAATTGAACAATTTTGAAAATTGAAGTTATCTTTCTTGGTAACGATCCTCATCGCAGGGAGAACGTAACAATTCAGGGCGAATATTTTCGGTGGATTTATAAGGAAAGGCAACGATTTCTTTGTTATTAATGTTGATTGTTTTTGATAACCCGAATAAGTAACCTCCCGTCGAAAGGATATTTTCCTCCGCTAGAAAAAATACATTCCAGAAATGAAAAAGATTCGCACGCCTCTCGGACGACTTCGGAAATATGAAGGTCTTTATCCTAATTATCGGTACACCCTATTTTCGTCGTTATCGATTAGCGCGAGTAGTCTCGACGCTGCTCAAATCCCGTAAATCGGGAATACGGAAAGATATTTTCGGAAGCCTTAAAGTATATTGCGAAAAATTAGTAGAAAAGAAATCGGAAAACTTCATGAATATTCAGACAGCCGGAGGTCTTTGTTCCAATGAGGTATATCGATGTTCATTACCGCGAGTAGTCCCGACTGAGCGAGAAGAATTTGCCCAAGATTCGGCAGGCACTCGAAAAATGCGAAAGAAAAAAAAAAAGAAGAATGGCAGAGGTCGACAGTGACC